CCAATTACTTTCCCCACCTTTTACAAAGTACCATTTATTTATGTGGAACTGAATAAAACACAGAACCAAATAAAGCAATTCCCAAACTATAACTTAGCCATCAACATGTTAGTGGTTGTTGCCATCACACTGCCCATTGAGTTTATTAAAGTAATCAATTATTTCCCCCATCCATGAGCTTCAATGCTTTCTCCCCCTGTACTAACTAATTTAACTGCAAGAGAAAGACCAGACAAGTCCCAGGTAATTCTTCCCGCCTTAGAGAGAGCATTGCACCTACAAGAAACAATGTGATAATCTTTCAGTGCAGTGCTGTGCCATACTGCAATAATCTCTGCAGACCCATTAAGCAGACTCAGAACTAAAATAACTTTGTCAGATTCAAGACAGATGCCAGGTGATCCCAAGTTCAATTGAGCCAGACAGCTAAGTCTCAGTTTTAAAGCATTAAGATATTTTCGAATAAAAAAATGTAGTTTAAAAGACAGCAATGCATTAGATATTGCTATCTGGAGAATATTCAGGTGTCCTTCGTTGCACTTAACTGAAGACTGAGAAGGGAAATATCACTCCAGTTAAGCAGAGTATTCTTCGCACGCCGAATTTCCAAATATTACTCAAATATAACTTCCCTGTTAGCAAACAAAATGTGAGCCAGTTAGATGAAATCAACAAATTATGGTTTGAGTTCTGCATTTTAAACAACAGTTTCTAATTCACATGGACTTCTGCTGATCATTAGGGAAACAGAAAATATGATGCAGTTTGAACTTCACCTTCGCGTTGCATTTGGGCATGAGCCATTTTTCCCAGTGCCAGGAAGGACTTTTTCACCAGCCTGAAGGGCTTCTTAATTCTCTAGTAGTCAGACCATCACAGTTAGCTCAAGAGGCTGTGTCCATCAATCTTATTTACTGTATTGGTGAACAAAAGCTTTGGCTTAAAATAAGCAGAACAAACCAAGTAGGTAAACCCACTCATGTCATGCTAAACATCAACAACTTCAGGTTAAATTCCTCTCCCTGTACTGTCTAAAGCTTCTGTAACTCTGCTGACTTGCATTTAAATTTGTCTCAAACTGTTCATTTAAAAAGTCAGTGGAGCTATTCCAGATTACTCCAATTAAATTCAGAAGAGAATCATTCCTTGCAGTCAGAGTTCAGGCCATTCCGCTCAGGTGCCGTATTACTTCAGTAATTTTTTTTTTCAGCAAGTTATTGCTTTTTTGAATGACTACCAGATTGCATTTTGAACAACTATATCAAATAGTTAATAAACAAAGCATTATTCCTTTCCTCTTTCTGTAATATGCCACTGATTCATCATACAACTCAAAGACCTACTGCAGCAAACCAAGTTAGAGACAGTCTACAGACAAAACCAGGAAACCCACAATTTTCATTACCTCTTAAGTACATTCTTCCCCTGTCATTGATTAGCTCCACACCATTCCTCTCAACCACAACTCTAAATAGCATGTAAAAAATAAAAAGTGTTATTTTTCAGCAATACCATCCTATGCCTAACATGCCTGCTTATTAAAGGATTCCTTTTTGCTTCCTGGAGATAAGACATTGAGATCAGGAAACGTAACCTAGGAACTCTTAGTGCAATGTATTTATTTCTCTCTACCACAGACCACCAGAGCCTTTCTGATCCGGTATTTTTCACTATAAGGTTTTAAACAACATAGAGCATATCTTAAGGTATCTTAAGTCAAACGGAGTGACAAGAAGCACGTAACAAATTAAAAGGAAGCCAAACATTGCATGAAGCAGCAAAGGCAGCTTCAAGTGCCCTCTTGCCACAGCTGTCTGAGAAAGAATCTTTTGCTCTGAGAAGAGTACTGTGAGGTTCTGACTTGCTCGCATGTTTTGTTATGCTTTTTTTCTGCTTTTTAATCCTCCCCTGTTTTGTGCTATTTAACCATCCTCTAGAAGAGGTACGAGACTATAACAGAATGGAAGAAGTTTAAGAGAAAGAATTCATCTATGTGCAAGAAAATAACAGCCATTCTATGAAAATAAGAAAGAACCATTAAGAATGGGAAAAGATATCCTGAAAAGAACAAAAAGCACTTAATTTTGCACATTTCCACCAGATGCCTAACTTTGAGGAGTCAGTTCTAACTTCTAGCAGCTCAGTATTTCCACTGACGTCAGACTTGTAACATCCCAGGGCAGCTGTTCTACACACAATTCAACAAGTATACCAAGGACACTGAAAAAATACTTCAAAAAGGACTACTTCCTAGTCTAGGAACTAGATCCTGTTCTTATTTTGAACTGTAAATAAGCTGTATAGCCTTGCAGGTTCTTCCTTAAGCAAATACCGACACTGCAGTTCAGACTTTGTATAAACAGTGCCATCTTAAATCTGTGTATTCATTAAAATGAAATACCATACTAACTAACATTAGCATAATGATAGCAGCATGCACAGGACAAAACAGTAACTTCAAAATACAGTAAAATCAGCAAAGCACGACACCTGCCTATTTAATTCACATACAGGCATGGATGTACTGTAACAGCAAATTGCCCAGTAACTTTTTTCAATTAGCCTGAACTGATGGCTACTTGTGTTTTGAAGTGTGCTACAGATGTGCTGCAGACAGCTCAAGTTGGCTGTACCCTTCAGTTTAGTTTGCAATTTTCTCTTCACTGCTATACCTCTTCCCAATATGCTGCATCCTTACCTACTCCGCTCTGGTGAGACCCCATGTGAGTACTCCATCCAGCTCTGGAGTCTTCAGTAAAGGGAAAGACATGGACCTGTTAGAGCAGGTCCAGAGGAGGGCCACAAAAATGATCAGAGGGATGGAACACCTCTCCTATAAAGAAAGGCTGAGAGAGTTGGGGTTGTTCAGCCTGGAGGAGAGAAGGCTTCAGGGAGACCTTATTGCAGCCTTTCAGCACTTAAAGGGGGCTTATAAGAAAGATGGAGACAGTATTGTATGTGTCATTTCCTCAAGCTGTAGTGAGAAATGCAATGAGTTAAATGTGTTTGGAGGTTACACACTTTTTGGAAACCCAGCTACAATTGGTTTGGCTAAGATATAAACAATACACTTTGCTCTTTTATTCAGAGCAGTGATCTTACAGTTCACATAAATTAACAGATTCTACATGTTCTTCCATGCCCACATAACACTCAGAGTCCTGATCAGTAATTCTACAGCAAAACCCTGCAATTTTCTCCAGGCTGAAAACTGGACTCTTCAATCTGTTACTGTGTGTCTGAACAGGAGTCAGAATTACTTTTTCCACATACTATCCAAAAAACAAACCCTTACCTTTAATACAGAGGTTAACAAATTTCAAGTGTCTAAAGACAAAAAACAATAAAAAAAAAATGGAACTAACATCATTTAAGCCTAGAAATATAAAATAACTAATCCCACAAAACCTAATTACAACGGAAAAGTATGACTGAATACAATGCTAGAAAGACAGTAAAGAAAAGTTAAAATGCAAAAAATTCAGTCAAACTGAGAAAAAAATTTTAAAGAAATTACATGCTCCCAAATCTGTATCAACTTGAATGCATAATGAAACACACCCATACAAGAAAACAACAAAACAAAAAGCCAGCCTGAAAGAGATTTGAGAAAAGACATAAAAAGTTACAGCAGGCAACCCACAACAGATGAAGCTGTCACCTGGTTTAAAAACTTCTCCAGCTTAAGAAATAGAGTTATCTCCAAAAGCACTGTATAATGGGCCTGGTTTAGTACAGCATTTCAGTATGTGTTCAACAGCAAGCACATCCTGGACTACTTCCCTGGATCAGAAATACAGTGCTCAGCACCGTAAGTTATCAAGCGCATATCCTGTAAGCTGTATCTTCTTCCAACTGTTGTGCTGCAGAGTATGATAACTCTCTGAGACAGAAAGCAATTTAAAAAAACCTGAAGCAAATAAAGCTTGTCTTTATGGCACATCTGAAATTTGAAGCAACACTCTTCCCTCCCTACATTTTTTTTATTTTTACAAATAAGACGCCTCCTGCATTACCTATTACTGTTTCTGGATATCCCCATTTATCTTCCCAGGTTATGTAGGTAAGTATAAGCGTACTGCATAATTCTGGCTTGAATTCAGTACTGAAGCAAAGACTATGCACATATTTTTACGAAGCAAGAATACAGATGTCACAAGGGACTTGGCAGTCTTCCAGTAACCACAAAAGAACACAAAGAATAATTTCTTTATAAGGTCACCAAAAGTCAGAAATGGTTTAGGAGCCTCTTTCCAACTTCCTCATGTTGCATTTTCATACTTAATATCAACAAATAAGCCAGTCTTTTTTCCTAAGCCTAAAAAACTAAAAAATACTCCAAAACAGAGATACAATACATGCTTTGCTGCAAGTGACACACAAAAGGTGAGTTCCAGCCAGCCTGGGGTGTATGCCTCTGCATGCATGTGTGTGTCTAAGGGTGAGACCACAGTGGGGCTTGCCTACCTGTGGTCGAGGGGAGTCCCAGACAGTGGGACAGGACAGGGTGTGTGTAGGGATGCGTGCACGTGTGTGTGTCTCTCCACAGGGTGGGGGGCAATCTGCACCAGCAACTGCAGTGGAGCTGCAGCCTCAGGGGCTCGTATGTCTAGATGCCAGCAACTGGTGCAACTGGGATCCAGGGGCCACCTACTGTGCCCACTGACCATCTATGCCTCATTGCCGGAGGGATCCATACTGTACATATCCATACATTGTACATATATTCCCACTAGTCGACTTTCATCCTGCTCAGCCAGAAAGCAGAGCAGGATAGGGCCTCTGGTGCTGTTCTGTGTTCCTGTGAGTGCTCTTTGTGTCTGTGTTATATACATATAAGCACAGGTATGTGGTGTACACGTGTGCTGCATATGGATGTACCTACTGGGAATACAGGCACAGTCTTGCCACTTGTCAGACCTGGGGTCACGAAGCTGTGGCAGCCTTGTCTCTCTCAGGCTGCAGAATCCAGCCCAATTTCTGTAACAAAATCCACTAACCTGAGAACAATCAGCCTTCGCTATTTCTGTAGTAGCCTGGAGTACATCACGAAGACTGTCTCCATCTTCTTGGATCAGTAGATAAGCCAGCAGAAGAAAAACGTGGGTAGGGACTTGAGTTACAACAGGTAGCAGTGATTTCACTGAAGATAACCAGTTAGTAACTGCAGACTTCTCTTTCATGAGCTTTATGATCTTCCAGGTTGTATGCAATGAGCTGTAAGAGCTGGTTATGGGGAAAAGGAGTTTGCAGGACACCTGAGAACAAGTGAAACAAACAAAATTCTCAATGAAACAAACAAGGTACCATGAGAGAACAAAGAAAAAAAATGTTAACTAATCCAGTTCTGTCATCCAAAACAAATCTTTCTTTTAGGGTCCTAATGCAACAAATGTAAAGAATAAACTGCAATACATTTCTTTACAATCCTTTATTTGAATTCTTGCACTAAGGATGTTTGAATGGGTTGCTAATTCCCTATTCAGGAGTTCCCCCTTTATTTGGCATCCATCACTCCTGTTCCTGCTGGTAACTGCGGTGCTACTTCCTCACTAAAATAGACACAATAAAACTGGAGTACATTAAAACCTTCCATTCCTGACAATGATAGGTGCATCACAAAAGTGTAAGATCCACATTATTTTAAGGAAATTCTCTAAACTTTTGGTAGTATTTAATAAAACACCACAATTTAAGTTAATCCGACTTCACATTTTTTGCTTAACTGTTTCGCTTCTCAGAACAAAATGTTCTATAGATGCAGTCATGGAAGATAACATTTAGAAGCAGGAAAGTAGTAAAATACAAATGAGGAATCCTCCTAACTCAGGTTTTTATATATGTAAAAGTATACATATTTTAAAGCTCCTGCAAATTAATGCAGAAGTTCAAAGTTTTTTATTAAAACAAAAAAGCTTAATCCAAGACAAACCATCTCTTTCCTACTAATTCTTTGTTTCCTTAGAAAATGCAATGTTTTCTGAAATGGCTTTCCGTTATCAAGAAAGTAGCTGGCAGGCAGTAATAAGATGAAGAACACTTATATAAAAATCAGGTGAAGAAAGTATTTGAAAAGAGGTCTCCAAATGAACATTAAAAATGGAATTGAGACTCGAAGAGGGCAGGGCCCACTCACCTTTAAATTACCAGAGAAAAAGAGATTTTGAGTGGCAAAAGCTGTTCTCCATAAAACTGCAGAATTTCATTTTAATCACAGTGTTCAATGCAATGTAAATTTATTTTGGCTAATGGAAGGTACAATGCCCCTGTACTTTAAATGATCTTTTAAAAATAACATTAAAATGAGCTTATTCCATTACTTACGCATTGCAATTATTGTATGTGAAAAACTCAGCAATCTATAATGACATCTCTCTGGCTGGCAAGATCACTTGGAGCCAAAAATCTCTCCTGGATACAGTTGTGAAACTGCCATTTATTGATAAAGGTATTTAAACTTTATCCAAGGACATAAATGGTCTAAGAAGAGCTTCAGGATCTGTAAGTTTAGTTGCCTGCCCCTACAAGATCGTAGGACTTGAAATCAAGCTCAGACTATTACAAGTTTGTTTGGTTTTTTTAAAATGTCTGGAAAAAAATGCTAAAATTGGTAGAGCCTGAAATATTTTATAGGTATTTCCCATTCCATATTACTTCCCCAAAGGTTTTGCTACACAATTGTACTCACTCCCTTCTCCCTTTATTTCAGCTGCATGAAAACAAGCTATCACCATATTTTTACTTTAATACTGCACCCCATTCAAGCAGGTTAGGTGGAAAATTTCAGTCTCCCAATCGAAAGATATATATAAAATCCCTCAATGGCAAAGTAGAAGTGCAGGTTAGCCACGTTCTAACATTTTTCAAAATCTTGGGACTACAAGTAGAACAATTCCCCATTACCATCACTGACAAAAAAAAAAAGCCATTGAAGAAATTACAGCTTTTGGGTGTGGTTAAAAGCAAAAAAGCAGCATACCGACTATGGAAAGGCAGCCACATACCCAGTGAGGACTACAAGAATCTTGCTAGGGCATGCAGAGATGCAGACAGGAAGGTTAAGGCTCCACTAGAACTGAAATTGGCCAGACACGAAGGAAGGGTTCTTCAGATACTTGGGCAGTAAGTGGAAGCACAGGGAAGACACAGGCCCATTACTAAACAGGGCAGGGAACAAGTTACTAATAATGCTGACAAGGCAGACGTTCTCAATACCTCCTTTCCTCCGTCTTTACCAGCATAGCTGGACCCCAGCTCACAGGATCAAGCACTACAACAACGCATGTGTCGACCCACCAGTAGCGGCCCTCTGCAAGGACCCACATAAATCGATGGGCCTGGAGGGAATCCACCCCAGGGTGTTAACAGAAATTGCTGACATCACTCAAGGCCACTGTCTGTTATCTGAGATCAGGGGCATCGCTGATGACTGGAAGAGGACAAATGTCATACCCATCTACAAGAATGGCCCAAAAGAGGACCCAAGAAACTACAGGCCCATTAGTCTTACTTCAGCCTCTGGGAAAGTGGTGGAACGAGCCCTCCTATAAACTATTACAAACCAAATGAAGAAGGTGATTGGGAAAATCCAGCACAGATTTACCAAAGGCAAATCATGCCAGGCTAACCTGATCATCCCCTAAAACAAAGTACCTTCTGTCGACATGGAGAGAGCAGTGGATGTTGCTTACCTGGACTTCAGCAAAGCATTCAACACTGTTTCCCACAGCCTTCTCCTGGACAAACTGTCAAGACACAGACTGGATGGGTGGTCTGTGAGATGGTGTGATGGTGTGCCTTCCCCCCGCCGCCCCCAACCTGACCTTTATCTCCCGTAACCCCGCTCAAGCGATAACTACCAGTGGCTGTCCTAATGGATGCATCTGGTTGTGATGGCTGCATCCGGCTCAAAGTGGATTCAGGGGATAGATAACAACACAATAGCCAAGGGCTAATTTGAGCAATGCACCCACCTAACCACAGCGCTGGCCAATGTCAGACTCAAACCAAATTTGGAAGAAACTAAGATCTGTGGTCGGTATGCAAATATGACTATGAGTCAATCATCCTACCCCCATAAATAGTGAGCAGACCAAGAGCCCTTTGAGCTCTCCTGCATGGCAGTGGGCTGCATGACAGGATCTCCCCTTGAGTAGGACCCCTTGAGTAGGGATGCCTGATGCCTCTCAAGGTTATGCCTGCCGCAGAGATCCCTTACTCCTTGATATTGAGAGATTCCTTGCCACAACAGATCCTCGGTAAGTAGTAGCTTGCTAAACTTCGTAAGCTTCGCTAAGATTGTATCTTAGACTGATTGTGCACATATAATCCTTTAGACATAAACCGTTGATCAAGTCCGGGACTAAGTTTGGATCTAGCCGCACCCAAGACTCCTCTAAGGGAAGGAGTTTAGAACGCAAGGGGGTCCTCTCTGAACCTCGTGACTCAACGGGAGGGTGTCCCTAACAGTTTTGTCTGACCCTGTCCTCTACGCAGTCAATAGTCAAGTGTACCTTGCCATCAAATCTTGTTAAACCACTGTCCTATTTACTATCAAACTTTGTTAAATCGCTGTTTTATATCAATGAACACATTGCTGCTTTTCTCTTACGGGTGAAGTGCATCTCTCCATCTGTGACAGATGGGTGGGAAATTGTCTCACAAGCCACACTCAGAGTGGTGATCAATGGTTTTTAGTCAGGCTGGCAGCCTGTAACAAGCAGTATCCCCCAGGGATCAGTACTGGGTCCCATGCTGTGCAACATCTTCATAAATGATCTGGATGATAGGACTGAAAGCACCCTCATCAAGTTTGCTGATGACACCAAATTGGCTGGTGACGTGGACACGTCTTTCAGAAAGACCTGGACAGGCTGGAAGAGTGGGCTAGCAAGAACTGTATGAAGTTTAACAAAGACAAGTGCAAAGTCCTGCATCTGGGATGACATAACCAAAGAGCCCAAGGCTACGATCTGTGTGGCTGGGGAGCAGCCTTGCTGAGAGGGACCTGGGGGTCACGAGTCAGCAGTGCACCAATGCAGCAGTCAAGGCAAACTGGATCCTGAGCTGCATCCACAGGGGCATTACTAGCAGAGATAGAGACTTGTCAGGCTGCACCTGGAGTACTGGGTCCAGTACTGGTCCCCACAATTCAAAAAAAGATGCAGACAGACTGGAGAAGTTCCAAAGGAGGGCCATGAAGATAATCAAAGGGCTGGACAACGTCCCCTTTAAGTTAGGTATTTTAACCCTGGAGAAGAGAAGGCTCAAGGGGATTCCACCACAGTTTTCCAGTACATGAAGAGCAGTTACTAAGAGGACAGAATGTCTCTCTTCACAAGGAGCCACATGGACATGACAAGGCGCAACGGGTACAAGTTGCACTGGGAGAGGCTTCATCTTGATATAAGAAAGAATTTTTTTTACAGTGAAAACAATCATTCACTGGAACAACCTCTCCAGGGACATGGAGAGCCCCCATCGCTGGAGGTTTTCAACATGCAATGGGATGGGGTGCTGTATCATCTCATCTAGGCTCCCTTTCCCATGAAAGGCTAGACCTGATGATCTTTCGAGTCTGGGCTGTTCTGTGATTCTATGAAAATATACCATAACTTAATTACGTTTGCTCTTACATACTCTTATTCAAAGCTTGCTCACTGTGGATGTAACGCTTTCTTTTTCCTACCTCTTTTCTTGCCCATTTCCAGTGTGAGGAAAGTCTAAGTAAAGAGAATTCATTAAAGATTGTATTCTCTTAGCACTGATCTGATCCTACAACACAAACGAACTAAACCCATGGGAACATTAAATAGAAATTCTACATTTTTTAATCTTCCAGTTGAGAACCAAAGGTTATTGGCAAAATTTTACAAACAATAATCAGGCAAAATGAGTGACCATTTCCCCATTCTCATTGCTAAACATGTATTACCAAAGATCTGCCATGCTACTTGCTATGAACTCCACAAGGATGTCTATCAGTGAGACAGAAGTGAAGAGACTGTTAGAGAATTCCCACCAAAAAGAAGTGTCTTTTCAGTTTAACATTGCTAACAAAAAAAGTTAAAGTCATCACAAATTATTTAAGCCCTTAAGAGAAAAGCTTTCACATGCTTTTTGAAGCAAGGAGAATACCAGAATTAGTACAACAAAGTTCTGTTACAGGAAGCCAGTGTTATACAATGTACTGTAACCTGTATCCTACAGTAACCTAGTAGTCTTGTAAGATGTTCAACTAGGTTCTAAAACACCACAGGAAACAAAACAGATGGGCCAGTGACACAGAGCATAGAGGACTGAAGTACTTGGAACACCTCTCACTGAAACAAGCCTCCAGTGACATCTGTACAGGCTGTCACCTAGAAAGTCCCATTAAGAGCAAGTGAGCAGCATTCTGTACTTAAAGCCATCCCACAGACTATTCTTTCAGAGTAGAATAAGGAGTGTAGGCTTTAGTTTTAGTGAACTTTAGAACATTTATCTTTCATTAGGAATACAAATGGGCTTGCCTTTCCAAATTTGTGGAAATGGAAGATGAAGTTGGAGAGGGATTCCAGGACAAAGAGACATGGCAGAACTCAGAATTGGCATCTTTGTCTCCGACTCATCACATCACCACCCTCCCCACACCACATAACAGGGGTGTAAAGCAGAAAGGGAGCTTAGCTTCCACAGTGCTAAGCACATCTTGATCAAAGAGACTTGCTGTTCTCAGAACAGATGGGACAAATGGATGGACGGCAGCTAAGTGGGACATAAGTAAATAAATAAAAAGAATAAAACAACAGCAGAGATTAAAAAAACAGGATAATGAGCTGAAATTTGATAAGTGAGATTTATGTGCTCTGTAACTTTCTTCAGCCAAAGCAGAAAGAATGGTACCTAACAGTCACGTAGAATGGTAAGGAAAAGGATATAGATGAGTAGAATAAGCAAGTCTGAAAGAGACAAACTAAGTATACATAACCTTGTTTTCTATTAAGTCCTGTTACTTGATTAATAATGCAGATGAATTCTTTAATCTATATGGTCTCTAAAAGTAAAAAAATCATCCCACCTCCTTAGTAAAACAATATCTAGCATACAAACATACTTCCACTTCACCAGTAGTCTAGTTTTATGGACTATACATATTTTTGAGTGTTTCCATACAACGTACTACACAACGAAGCTCACACATGTAAAGCCTTTCCCAAGCAGCTAGGTGTAATGCAGCAAAATTGTTAAACGCATCCCCTACCTGCCCCAAAAGAAGGAAAAAATCTTAGAACTTTACCAATTCCTTTTTATCCTTCACACCTTCCTCCTGTAATATTCCCAAAAGATTTATAGCCAGCTGCTGCCTGGTAGTTCCAGAATCATCCTCTGATAGGCAGTCCCCAACTGTTGTAGAAGATAAGATCTGTAGCACAGGCATCACCAAAGTAAGGGCTGTGGTTGAGATGTTCTGGGTTTCTGAACAGGAAAGGAGCTTGTAGGCTATTTAAGACAAGGTGGGGAAAAACAAAGATCACGTAGGGAAAAAAGAGCTAACATGATTTGTACTTTTAGGCGTGACAAACATTTCTAGGAAACACTCTGGTCAAGCAAAGTAACAGCCCCAGAATTAGAGCATGTGCATACTAGAGTTGAAGTGCAAAAGATTTTTTGGTAAAACTCCAATTCTATTTAGAGACCTATATATTTCTATTGTTTACAGCAAAGTACCTGATGGCAGCAAGAAATACAATAATGGAATGTAGCACAGTCCTTCGCTTTTACTAGAAAAACTCCACTAATCAAAACTGTTAAGTTGAAAGCTCAGCCAAACATTGCCATGACTGTCATGCCTGCTCTCTTAACATATGTCAAAAGAAACCATTCAGGATGCATGAATCTCAGCTGAGAATATCCTGTTGTTGACTCAAAAATGAAACAGATAAGCTCCAAGACAGCAGGGAGCTTAGAATACAGTAACATCCATGAAAAAAGTCAGTGTAGTAGGAAAATTTATCTTTATTGCCATTAGATCAAATGTTACTTTTTAAATTCAGGAAAAATCCTGCTTATAAAAAAACATTTCACCGCCCAACCCAACTTCAGGGAAATGCAGTGCTTATTTTCATAAACACGAAGAAACAAACACACAGTCTTAAGAATGTGGATTCCTCTTTCACAAGAAGAGCTTTACCTAGGCTCAAGACAGACTTTTGCTGACTTTCTGGCGCTTGCAGCAGTAGAAGCGCTAGTCCAATTATACACTGTTCCACTGGAAATACCTACAAGGGAAAAAAGAAAGAGGTTCAAGTCTTCTTTGTTTTTCAGTGGCATTAAACAGTACAAATGGACAACAACCAAAACTGTAAGGAGTTTCTTCATGAATCATGGTGACACAGTGACACAGCACATGCAATGAAGAATATGAATACTGTAAAAACAGCATTTTAACTGAATAACTACAACATTTTAATTTTTTACTTTGTCCAAAACATTTTAGCCCAATTTAAACCAACTCCCATACTAAAAGGTTAACGGATATATACAGAACCAGTTAAGTTTTTGCCTTCTGAAGGTCTTCAACCAAGAAAAAAAAAAATTTCAAGCTTTTGAAACAACACTGGTCACTTGCAGATGAATGCCATGTATCAATGTCTCTAAATACTGCCTTAAACATGACACTCTTGAAATTTAATACAACTATTTTATTTTTTTCCCCCATGAACTCTTACCTCTTTTAAGAACTCAAAGTTGTCCTCTATTAAGGAGATCAAAGATGAGCATTCTCCTGTTACATTTAAACACACTTCACAGAAGCATAACAGTTGCAGACAAAACTGGGATAACTGAACTTTCCAAAACACAGGATAGCGCAGTAGGCTGAGGAATAGCTCTTTCAGAAAAAACAAGGCTTCTGTAACTTGCAGTAAGTCTTTAAGCTGTAGAGAGGTAGTTAAAAAACAAAACAAAACCAAAACACATTCTGGTTTAGTTCCCCTTCCCTATCCACACAGAATTCCCCAAGTTTAGAATTAGTTCTATTAGCTCTGCAATGTTTCCATCGCAAATATTACTAAGACTTTGAAGAAATACATTTACAAACTAAACCCAGGAATCTCTTATCCAACTTCCCTGCAAAAACCATACATGAACTGCTATTTAATGTTTTGAAGTAAAATTAGAAACATGTGAAAGTATAAAAAGATTTCTTGGTAGCTGATGAGAAAAATCCCTTTTTCCTCAAAAGCAATAGCACATTAATTCAGCTCTCCGGGTTCTCTCAGCAACATAAAACAAATGATGTGGGGATTTCATATAGCAGGTAAATATTCTTGTATGGAAACATTCTGCTCTGGGGTATTTCCTCTGTAATGTAACCAAGATTTGAACACGTCTCAAAAGAGAAAGGCAGTGGTGTTATCTGCTTCTACAGCACCACATAATCTACCTACTACAAAAATGAAAAGCTGAAGTGTGATACCCAAAAGCAGTATTTCCATACTTGGAAGCCAAGTGAAGAGGTTTCAAGAAGCAGGTTGCCTCAAAATCCTAATGTGTTAGATGACAGCATTTCTGCTCTTGAAAATTCTAGTTCCAGACAAACCCAGCTGTTCCAATCCAAGCTCTGGAGCCAGCATTAAGGGTAACATCCCCATCTTTATTCACAGAATTTGTTCCAAGGGACTAATCTGCTCTAATCAGAAGCCTCATGTCCACTGGATTTTTCAGCAGTAAAGTCTGCAAGTGACGAGCTGTACTTTTGACCGCTTGGTTGATACTGTCAGACAAAATGACCAGGAGGCATTTCAGCATTTATACTATACAGAGGATTAAATAAGGCTAAGCTTAAAGGAAGGCCAAGAAGAACCTGAGCTTCCAAGAAAACAGGAGAAGGAATAACAGGTTATAAAACAGTCCATCAAACAGGGTTCTTGAAGGAAGTATTTCCCTTTCCATTGTGAAAGTTGTATCTCAGGCAAGACAAAAACATGCAAGTATTAATCTGAGTTTAAAAAAATGTTACACATTTCTAATAAAAAAAAAGAATTGCCAACAAGCATGAAGGAAAGAAAGATTCAAACTAATTTTATAAGTCTTCTTCAGTGCCATTGTTATGGCTAAATGTTACCGAGTCAAATGCTTGATCATACATTCAGGACACAATGTTATACTGAAGGTCAGGTAGAATCAAGACAAAATCAGAAATGTCCCCGTGACTATAAAAAGTCAGCATCTACCTGTCATCACAAAGAGTAGACCTGAACCAAGACAAATGTGTATAATACAAGTTATTATTCGTCCAAAAGACTGGGAAAAGTAGCTACCAGTAGAAAGTTGACTTTACTAGTAAAATTCCTCAGGAGGAAGATGCTACCAAATATCCTCATATCAAGCCTATTTAGCTTTACATTATCAATATTATCAAACCCTTTCTCTATGGCAATAATAGCACAGCACCTCGTGTTTGACTGAATATATTTGAAACTAAAGATGTTGCTCTAATATTAAAGAGGAAGGAAAAGGTACATAGGTACAAAAAAGCTTAACCAATGTCACAATAAAGCACGAGGCAAAGCAGAGCTATTAACCTTAACAGCACCCGACACCCTAACCCCTAGGAGACAGAAAGATTAAATCCCTAGCTCCTAGCAAGTATCACTGAGCAACTTAAAAGTACATTCAAAAACTTCAGCATATTCCAGATAGATTAAGTTTTGTCTTCAGGTGCATTAATCCCTCTGTTACGAAGAGCAAGGAAGGAATATTTAGGAGTGCTTTAATCATGCTTCTCATATAGTTTGTTTCATTTTAATATTAGCCATGTTAAGTTAAAAATTGCATGGTTTTGACAATATCTTACCATCTAACAACATTCCCTCTCTCTTACAGCATCTCTACAAGTTTACTGTATCTTTACTGAGGCAACCAGTGGCAAGCAATTATGGTAAACATTTGTTTCAATTTACATCTTACCAGGTGTATCAGATTTGTACAATTAGAAAGTTTTACCTTCTACAAGAAAGACCCAGTTTGTTAGATTTCTGTACTACCAACAAATCAGATCTATAGGAAATGGAAGAGAATGCTATATTTGCACACTTGAAAGGCAATAATAATAATGCTATGATTGCTTTGATAGCATTTATTTGTAAAAGGTGGGATCAGGCAACAACTGTACCTGAAGGTGTGGAATCATATCACACAGAAGTTGAAGAATCTGGCATTCCAGCACAGAGGGTGCTTCTTTGTGCTTTGGACCATGAGGCTGAAGTAAGATCTTAAGTAAACCCATTCGCAGTTCAGCATATTCCCGTAACTGAGATGGTTCGCAATACAGGTATCTCAGAAATGGAGCCATTATGCCAACACATGAACTCTGTGCCCTGCAGTTCAAGAAATAAGTTTGCCAAGACTGCTTTCTACCGAAACCTTAACAAACGACAAAGAAAACCCAAGCAATGTGACATTCCCTGCAATAATTTACACGATGCAATTAACAGAAAGGTGTTACGAAAGGCATTACTAAATCTCACCAAAAACCTTTGACTCATTAGCACAAAGTACTGTCATGAGACCTTACACAGCAACCATACAATGAAGCGCAATTGTGAGAAGACTCAGTATTTAAGCATGAATACTACTCAATATGTACTTGCAGATTATGACACTCTTAATTTTATTCTTTTGTTTTTCTCATAATTCAAGAAAGTGACTTTCTTTGCTAAATGTCATGAGAAACTAGTGTGCCATTCTGAAGTAGCATTTGGGCAGAAATGCTCAGAGATATTCAGAAATATCTTTTTAAAACACATAAAACCTAATTTCAATTAAAAAGAACCATCCACTCCATGCCAGTTTTTGCCCAATGGTCTTAAATAATTACATGAAACAGGAACTGCTTTAACCAAGATGGCTTCCCAGTAAAAAATTTATCACAGAACAATTCTTTTGGCTTGACCATGTTAGGAATACCAGCTGTTCTTGACATTATTAAAACAATCAAATAAAGCTAATGATCAATACATTAACAAATATACAGGGAATCAAAATTAAAAGTAAGTTTTAAACAAGACTCAGCCCTGATGCAGAGCTTTACAAAGAACTCAGTAATAGATCTACATCAACATATGTGGCGCTTGTTGACTTTGTGCTTAGGGACATGGTTAGTGGTGGACTTGGTAATGTTACGTTAATGGTTGGACTCAATGTTCTTAAGGGTCTTTTCCAACCTAAACGATTCGATGATTCTACATGCTTAGTCTAGAACTTTATTCCGCAAAAACCTTTGCCCAAAAAGCAGCAAAGGAAGTTTAAGATATTTTCCTTTTCAGGAAAAACAACTCATGTTTTAATTCAAAACAAGCCACCAGCAAAAAATCTGCAGTTCATTCCATCATTCAGACACCTGACAGGATTCTTCACGAGTCCCAGATTTAGCGGCTGAGTGGTAGAACAAGTCTGCAAACAGTATTTTAAAAATACTCTGATCAATTAAGTTGAACAAAACACACTTTTGCTTGAAAGTCTTACTGTTGATCATGTCATCTAGGCCCACCAGAAATTTAAAAGATTAATAAACTTATTTGTTTACTCAGAGAAACAGAATACAGAAGTCAATTTCACTGTACTATTACTCTGTTGGATGTGTACGAGTCTTGCAGGAAACAGAAGAGATACTTTTTTTCTGAAAAGCATACATATAGGTGTAAAATCACAGAAAACATTTGGTTTTAAGGCTGCTACAGCATTTGGTATCTTACACTGAAGCTTTATTGGACATGTTCCTTGGAGGTAAGCGTGAAGAAATGTTGAAGTTGTTGGTAGCTTGGATACTTGGTCATTGTTGAAGATATTTTATAATAAGGCTGTGCCACTGATTTTTTCTTTTTTTTTTAAATCGAGAAGCATACATCATTTTTAAAGACCTTATCCTTTACCATGAGATATAATCACCTGTGCTTTCCCTTTATCATCCCACGATTTTGTATAGATGAGTTATACTAGTCATCTTTTTTAAAAGACTAAGCAGTCAAAATCTTGACAAAGCAAATAATCAAAATTACTTATTTTTAAAAAAATTTCCAAAGCTGCTATCAATTTTGGAATTTTTCCTCATCCACGAAAATTATATCAACACAAAAGACTGAGGAAAAAAACTATAACAATCGATTTTTGATGGATTATTCTAGTATTTTATTAATATTCTATTTTTAACCTTTAAATGGAGTCATTACATTTTATAATTGTCTTTTTCAAAAGACAGAATTCTTACTGCTCATTGCAGCTGCCTTCAAGAAAAAAGTTACACTGATACGATTCAGTTATCTACATTTTAATTATTCATTAATTTACCTCTCTGGACACTGATGGAAAAATACTGTTATCTGCTGCAGTAGAACTGGCCAGCAATCAGGTCTGTTTTCAAGGACACTGATTAATGGCTGAGGAGTGTTCCTGAAACACAAAGAAATCACATGTGGATCTATAATGCAGAAAGCGAGTGTGCAAAATAATGATCTTCAAAATAAAAGCAGCTGTAGAAATAGACAATTTAACCACCTGGTGTTACCAACTCCCTTTACCAGCTTTGCCAAGACTGCTACACTGTCAAAAGAGCACATTTTATAGGAACTTCAGGAAACAAGATTAAAACAAAATCTCTATTCGAAAAATCTTGGTCTGATTTTTCTTTTTTTTCAATAAATGTCTAAGGATCACTGTTCGAATGTGTGGCCTGATTTGAGTCATTGGTAGCAGCATTAGGGTCTAGCAGGTTCCCAGTAATACCCACAGAAAGATTTGAACCACACGTCACACATCAGTCCAGTATTTCAAGCATAAGTACAAACCTTCAGCACCTGAGACAAATTGAGGTGACCATCATCCCATGCACTATTTTAAATCTGCTCCCAACATATTTATTTTTTCCTTTTTTTTTTTTAGGTGGTGAAAGAAGCAGGAAAGGAAAAAAGGCTGGCCATACCACTAACCTAGAGACCTCCACTTTACTGCCAGCCCTCTGACAATGGTTGCATTTGAAAGGGTCACTGAGGCCTAGTAGTCACCTGTTCTTCTCAGATTAATCTATCATCAACACCTTCGTCACCGCCAAAGTCAATGACTGAAGGCTATCTACACCACCTAGAAGTGTGACACTCGCATCAGTGACTACACCTGTACAGTAGCAGATGGAGGAAAAGCTGGGCAGGAGGGAAGCCTGAAGTATGTGATTTGTTCTGTCAGAAGCAAAACGAAAGTCATTTGACTAGAGTAAATTAGCGTACGAAAGGAAAACAGAATCTGAGAGTCTGAATATTGAATTTCCTGGAGAAGTGGGGAATTGGAAACAACTGGTGATGCGAAGGCAGGTTCATCACTACCTGCATCACCTCCTTCTGGAGTTTACCCACTGTCCTTGCTGTGACTGGCCCCCTTACTCCCACCTGCCTGCTAAGTGTCCTTATTTCCCCCAGTTCCCTTTCCTGTTTCAGCCAGCTACAAGCAGAGTAGTGTAGATTCTTCTCTGGGCTTAACAGACAATCAGATACTTCCCTGCTCTCAGAGCAGAAACAACTTTCCTAATAACAAGAGAGAAAAGTTGGAAGAGAAGAGTCTTACTGATTCCCACAGATCTGCTAGACACACGAAAGCGCAGGGCTATACGAATAAGTGGAAAGGCAACAAATGCATGCACACCATACGAGGCTGGTGGCCATACAGAGAGGTACACAAATCTAGGAACTGCAGATGCTACAGACCACCACCTTCAATTTGGTTAACCATCTTTCCTGTTCACGTCCAACAAACCTGTGCTAAACACCAGAGAGACTGTCAGTCAGTTTTACCTATACAGCGCTAGATGATTTGAGACCCACCAATTTACGTGGTACATCTCAAGAAAGACTGCCTCAGTTTCAGACACTTACCGCACCTTTTAAATAAAATAGTGAGAAAGAATTAAAAAAAAAAAAAAAAAAAAAAAAGAGATGAGGACAGCACACCCACCCACATCTCACACACAGCTCTAACATAACATTAAGGCTCCTTGCAAGTGTTTACAGGCCAACTGACTTACATGCATGGGAGCTGTCTCACTTAAAGGATAGCTGATATGGAACACTCCGGTGAAGAAACTGTTAGTTTTCTTGATATCCTGTTAATTTTACTACAGTGAGTGATATAGTCAAATAAGCCTTTTAGAAAGGATTTATAACGGTATTTGGTTTGTTTATTATTGTTGTTTTAAAAGCCTGTGAAGAGCAGAAAGCCCAAGATCTGAAGTAGTCTTTTTATTACAGAAGACAACATTAATTGAGACATACTCGTGTTCAATAGCATTGTGCTACAACACAGGCTTCATCTTGAGCAGCACCAAGCAAACCCAGCTCCATGTGAAGTGAATGAGATCTGCAAGAATCCCATAGAAGAATTAAAAATGTATCTAATTTTTTCCATTACATTGCAAATTTGAATTGCATAATGTGATGGTGTATTAAGGCTTCCCTTAAGTGAGCTAAAGAGGTAATACTCACCTGCTATAAACAGGAACGTTTAGAGTTATGCTATGCCTAGTAAGGTACTATTTCTGAAAAAACATCATGTAGCAGACATATCCTTAAACCAAAAGAGTGCTCCTTATTATGTTATTTTTACATTCTCAATGTTAACATTGTTTGAATTTTGGGCTACTGATTAGTTTTGAGGATAATCAGAGAGTAATATCCGCCATTAGCTGAACGAGAAGCCCATCAAGTTACGAAAGCTGGTTACAGACTATCATACATGCCTAATGCCTCTTGTTTTCTTCGCAATGTGGTCAGAATAAAGCTAATAACCAAGGAAACTGCAAATATCTACTTCAATAGAAGACAACAGTCAAATATGACAATATGACCCACTGAACTCTGCAGCTGTGTAGTTCAGGTAACAGCAAATAATTGCAGTGTCCTTACATGCTACAAAACAATCTCAATAAGAACTCTGAGATATCTGAAGAGAAAATAAGTTTCGGTCAACTGCTTCTCTTCAAAAGCTTTAAACTACATTGCATCTTAAGGTGGGAGTATGTAGGAAATTTGCTCTGACTAACAAAGCACTTCTTACCATGGAAGGATATTCACAAAGCAAAAAGTATTGTTAATATCCTTTTAGGCATCAAGAAAAAGCTTGTATTTATTGAGAGAGACTTAACTGCAGTGCTCAGGACATCAGCCCAGAGGCAGTTAGTCTAAATCAAGAGAATATTTAGAATATAACTTATCAGCAAGAAGGTTAAACCAGATTCAGGTAATTTTCTATTTAGACATGAAGACAACCGTGCCTTTAAGAAAACAGCAAAAATCCACAGGAATGCAATAAAGTCAGATAAAGAAAACTGTTGCTAAGTCATCTCCATATACAGACACATTAGAGCCTGTACACTACCAAGACTTGGAAGCATGACCACAAATCTATCTTAAAAATCTATTTGCCATAAACATTTGCCATGAATATGGCAAATAACGCTAATTTATTGTCATAATATATAAATACGAGGAAGTAAACATTCTTAGTAAGGTAACCTAGTGGAAATAATTACAAAATCAGTAATAAACTGAAAAACCACAAATAGTGTCTGAGCAATAAAATCAAGGAAAATCACCACCCATATGGGCTAATGGAACTCAGAGCAATTACAAGGCTATTGTACCTAAAGACAATAGGAAATTTAGCAATAGAACCTGACATCTTATGCCTGGCACCTCTTTAATGACGATTAAAAGAGGGGAAATTTAACATACTGTATTTAAATCTTTATAAAAGAATAACTAGGAGCTTTCAGCTTACTCTGTTAAAAAAAAGCAAGTTAAATTTGGAGGCAATCTCGTGCTAAGATAATGAGATTATACACACACTCAGGAAGAAGATTTAAAAAAAAGTAGCTGGACAAGCTTTTCAGGAGCAGATATTTAACCTTCTGTTTGGATTAACTGAACAGCTTTTAAGCTGTCTTAGCATTTAGAAAAATCACATGAACCAAAAATATAACAAGCTGCGTCCAAACCACTCAGCAGCATGAAAGCAAATAGTTTTGCACACCTACTGATCCATGTTCTAACAAATAGAACATTAGATGAGATTCGATTTGGAATTGCCAAAAATCACTCTGAAAAGCTGCGTAAGTACCACTGCCTAATGGGTATAGGGGGAAAAAAAAGGGGGGAGGGGGGAAGCAGCAGGTCGCAGTAGATTTCAATCTCGATGCCGAAGTCTTCTGCAGCCTATGACTGGGATAATTCCAAGAGGTGCAGGTGCCATCTTACTTCAGTGTTGTATTCAGCGTAGAGAAAATTTACCTCAGCTCTCTGCGCAATCTGCTCCAGTGCTCATAGTGAAACATTTTTCGTTATATTCACTCAGAAACTCCTGGCTTTAAACTTACGCTCATCGCCCATTGTTCTTCCATCAAGAACCAAGGCTCTACATTCTTGGTAATCTTTCTTCTTCTTAAACTACTAAAGATCTTGGGAGGTCCCTGTTGACTGGAAGGTAGGCAACGTTATTCCAATCTGCCAGAAGGGCATGAGGGAGGACCCAGGAAACTACAGACCTGTTAGTCTAACCTTAGTGCCTGGGAAAATTATGGGGAAAATCCTACTGGGTGCTACTGAAAGGCATTTCAAGGACAGTGCAATCATCAGGCACAGTCAACATGGGCTCACACAGGGAAAGCCCTGTCTAACTAATTTGATATCCTTCTGTGATAAGGTCACCCACCTATAGTGGGTGAAGGGAAGGCGGTGGATGCAGCTTTTCTGGATTTTAGTAGGGCTTTTGATACTGTCCCTCAGAGCATCCTTCTGGACAAGTAGTCCAACTGTGACATGAGCAGGTGCACAGTGCGCTGGGTGAAGAACTGGCTGAAGGGCAGAGCTCAAAGGGCTATAGTGAATGGGGCTACATTAGTCTGGCAACCAGTCACCAGCGGTGTTCATCAGGGCTCAATTCTAGGGCCAGAATAGGGTTCAATATATTTATCAACAATCTGGAAGCAAGAGTTGAATGCACCATCAGCAAGATTGCTGATGATACCAAACTGACTCTTTCAAGGGACAAGAGGACTTGCAGAGGGATCTGGATAGATTGGAGCATTGGGCTATGATTAATGGGATGAAATTTAACATGTTGAAATGTCAAATCCTGTACCTAGGACGGAGTAACGCTGGGCACAAGTACAAACTGGGAGAGGAGTGGCCCTGCAGAAAGGGATCTGGGGGTGCTGGTTGACATTAAGCTCAACACGAGTCAGCAGTGTGCCCTGGCAGCCAGGAGGGCAACCGGCATCCTGGGGTGCATCAAACACAGTATAGGGAGCCGGTCAAGAGGTGATTATCCCGCTGTATTTAGCGCTGTGCGGCCTCACCTTGAGTACTGTGTGCAGCTCTGGGCCCCACGATTTAAGAAGGATGTTAAGG